TTTGCTGGGACAGGAGATAAAGCGAAAGAGAGGTCGCACAGTCTCGCCGTTTGCATCGTCAGTGCGCACTTACATGAAGTTCGTCAGGGCGTAGCTCTTTGCCAAGGTGGCCGCTATCAAAGGTGACGTCTGCAAGCGCCACGGCATCAAGCCCCTCCAGATTACGACCGCAATCAAGCGGCTAAGTGGGCGCAAAGGTTTTCGACGGATTGCAAATGATAAGCTTGTTGCCGGAGAGGGCAAGGTCAGGAACATTTCAGCGTGGTCGATCAGCGCGTGGCCCAGGAGGCTGAGGCCAATACGAAGGAGGCCGATGAGGCTGCCAGGAAGGCCGAGGAGGATCGCGTGGCCAAGGAGGCCGAGGAGGCCAGGCGGGCCGACGCGGCGAAGAAGGCAGATGAGCAGCGCGTGGCCCAGGAGGCTGAGGCCAAGGAGGCCGCCAGGGAGGCTGAGGAGGGTCGCGTTGCCAAGGAGGCCGATGAGGCCAAGAATGCCGACGAGGCCAAGAACGCAGAGGAGCAGCGGGTTGCCAAGGGGGCCGAGGCCGCCAGGAAGGCCGACGAGGCCAAGAAAGCAGAGGGGCAGCGCGTGGCCAAGGAGGCCGATGAGGCTGCCGGGAAGGCAGAGGAGCAGCGCGTGGCCAAGGAGGCCGAGGAGGCCACGCGAGCCGACGAGGCAAAGAAGGCAGAGGAGGAGGAACGCGTGGCCAAGGCGGCCGAGGAGGCCGCCCAGAAGGCAGAGGAGCAGCGCGTGGCCCAGGAGGCTGAGGCCGCCAGGAAGGCCGCCGAGGCACAGGTGGCAGAGGAGCAGCGCGTGGCCAAGGAGGCCGAAGCCGCCAGGAAGGCAGAGGAGGATCGCGCGGCCGAGGAGGCCGAGGCCGCCAGGAAGGCAGAGGAGGAGGAACGCGTGGCCAAGGCGGCCGAGGAGGCCGCCCAGAAGGCAGAGGAGCAGCGCGCGGCCCAGGAGGCGGAGGCCGCCAGGCAAGCCGACGAGGCAAAGAAGGCAGAGGAGCAGCGCGTGGCCCAGGAGGCTGAGGCCGCCAGGAAGGCTGAGGAGGCCAAGAAGGCAGAGGAGGAGCGCGTGGCCAAGGAGGCCGAGGCCGCCAGCACGGCCGACGAGGCCGCCAGGAAGGCAGAAGAGCAGCGCGTGGCCAAGGAGGCCGCGAACTCCGAGCCTCCGAAGAAGAAGCCTCGGAGTGCGTTGGCGAAGGCGGCAGCGGCTCCTGGCCAGACGAGGCTCTGTTGAGCGGTCGGCGGGCGGTGAGCGCTCGGGCGCGCCTGCCGCCGAGGGCGGGCGCATGGGGGCGGAGGGGGGCCGGGGCTCGTCGGCTCGCCCAGCTGCGGGCGCACACACAAGGTTGAACGCCGCTGGTGGCCCAGGCTCGGCCGAGGTCGAACGCCCTGACACGTCGGAAGCGCGCGGCGTCAGTGATCGCCCGCCACCCGTGCTTCAGAGCGTGAATTACCTACCCCGCTTTCGCTTCCAGCCCAAACCTAGTCATGCCACGCGCCTCCTCGTCAAGCGGCCTGACCAGCGCAGGCCGTAGTTTGGCCTCGCTTGGTATCTCTTTGGGGCGAGGGTGGTCGAAAGCGAAGTAGGTTTGTTTGCGCCCTAGTGCTGGCGTGACATGGGCCTGCAGCGTGGCTCTTTTAGAACGCGCGCTGGCGCGGCGAGTTGTGCATCCTCGCCCTGTCTTGAAATCACCTCCAATCTTCATGGTCTATCCCATCGTTTCCCTATCGCCTTCTTTCGTTTTCTCTCTCTCTCTCTCTCTCTCTCTCTCTCTCTCTCTCTCTCTCTCTCTCTCTCTCTCTCTCTCTCTCTCTCTCTCTCTCTCTCTCTCTCTCTCTCTCTCTCTCTCTCTCTCTCCCCTCCCCCCCCCCCCCCCCCTCCCCCCCCCCCCCCCCCCCCCCACCCCACCCC